GGGGTAGGGTCAGTGATGGGGAGAGAGTGTACACAGGGCTGCGGGAGGGGAATTAAATGGGTGGTTGGGTCAGTGATGGGGGCAGTGTACCTGGGGCTGTGGGAGGGGGATTGAATGGGGGGCGTAGGGTCAGTGATGAGGGGAGAGTGTACATGGGGCTGCGGGAGGGGGATTAAAGAGGGGGTTGGGTCAGTGATGGGAGGGAGTGTACCTGGGGCTGTAGGAGGGGGATTAAGTGGGGGGCAGGGTCAGTGATGGTGGGGAGTGTACATGGGGCTGTGGGAGGGGGATTAAATGGGGGGGTAGGGTTAGTGATGGGGGGGAGTGTACATGGGGCTGTGGGAGGGGGATTAAAGGGGTGGCTGAGTCAGTGATGGGGGGGAGTGTACACGGGGCTGTGGGAGGGGGATTAAAGGGGTGGTTGGGTCAGTGATGGGGGGGTTAGTGTTGTGAATTTAGCGGGGATTGGAGTGGTGTAGAATGACCCTGTGTATTCTCTGAAAGGAGCTGTGTGTTTTGCAGGAGTTGGCATTGCTGGGGGCTGGAGTTGTTGGACTGAGTGGACGACTTGTGTGAATGACCGGCGTTCCCGATCCCGACGCTGTGATAATCCCCATGCTGGCCCTGGGGGCAGGCAGTGTCCCGGACAGAGCTCCCAGTCGGAGCGGTGTGAGGATGATGAAATGGATTATTTACGGTGAGCTCCCTCTACTCCTCCCCCAAACCAGGACCTTCACCTCGCTCTCAGGTCAGAGGCTTGGCCCGGCCCTCAGTAAATAATTAGACTGACCCAGTCAGCGGCCGGATCTGAGCTCCCTCTGGCTTGCTCATTCCCCCTCTGTCCCCCCACAGCAAGCCGACCTGCCCCTCCCCAGTTAATCAGGACCACATGGAGCCTCCTTCCCCACTTAGTCAATGTTCCCCTGGGAAACAGGGACCTCTCCTTCCCTCTGGGTGAGATGTGGATTACACATTGTCTATCAGATTGGAGGAGGAGCTGTGCACTCTGTTCTGGGACTGGAGACCAAATCATGGCCATTAAATTACCAGCAGCTGAGACCATCAGAAAACTGTAAGAAATAGTGGGCCATTCAGCCCCTCTAGTCTGCTTCTTATTCACTAGGATCATGGCTGATCCACCTTCCTGCTGTTTCCCCATAACTCTGATTCCCTGACTGATTAAGAATCTATCTCAGCCTTAAATATACACAAGGACTCTGCTCCCACAGCTCTCTGTGACCAGGAGTTCCAAAGGCTCACAAACCTCTGAGAGAAGAAATTCCTCTTCATCTCAGTCTCACATTGTTATTCCTTTATTCTGAGACTGTGCCCTCTGGTCCTAGACTCTCCCATGAGGGGAAACATCCTCTCAGCATTTACCCTGCCAAGCCCCTTAAGAATTCAACATGTGTCAGTTAAGATCACCTCTCATTCTCCTAAACTCCAGTGAGTAGAATTCCCAACATATTTAACCTCTGATCATAAGGCAGTCCCTCCATACCAGGGATCATCCTGTGAACCTGCTCTGTAATGTCTCCAATGAAATGATAGCTTTCCTTAAAATCTTTCCATTGGGTGGCACATATCGGCTGACAGAGCTGAGACAGTTGTGTCAGAGTGCGATATGGCCAGAGGCACCCCCTCTCACACAGCTCATCGTCAAATGCAACCCTCACGCCCTCTCTGAGTGAGTGTCACTCAGCACTTTGTAAGGAGGAACAGCAGAGAGTGTACACAGGGCTATGGGACAGGGATTGAGTGGGTGGGTAGGGTCACAGATGGGGTGAGGTACTGAGCCTGTGTAACGTATTGTTTCCTGATTGATTGCAGACAACTCGAGCCCCATTGCTTTGAAATGCCAATTGAACCGATCACAGGCTGCTCAGCTCCCCCTGAACTGGAGAATGGAGCTGTCCAGGTGTGTATTTACAATAGTGTGGTTTACGACTGTCTCTCTGTAACTGTTCAGATTGATGCCTGCGGTCAGCGCTTCATGCTCACTGTCACAGGACTCTCATGATATTGCAAGAGGTCTCTAACCATCCAAAACATATAACACATTTCCGTCATTATCATTGACATTGTGATTCACTGACTCTGTATCAAACTGTTCTTGTGTTTAACCAGTTCATTGTTCATGTCAGTTTTGTCAATGCATCTTGTAAACTGTTGCTAGATTCTGGATGGTACGTGTGTGCATTGCTGTTGGCTGCTCTCATGTGACTGACATTCTCTTCCCCACATGTCATCGCACCCATGACCGTCTGTCCCTCCTGTTTGTTTTTGTCTTGTCTTGTTCATTAAATCTGTTGCAATCTCATAGTTTAACCACTACAAGTTCAAAAGCCACCAGAACTGTTTCAAATCGCCTTCCCTTTTCACCGTAACTACAATTACTGATTCCACACAACCATTAATCACAGCCTGATTGATGTCGTGCTGTTGACTATTTGATGTTGTTTGGTGTGTAGCAGCTGACAGGACTTGCTCCCCATGCAGACTCTCTCAGTCGGAACATTCCCGTTCTGACCCATCATGTGCACGCTGTTAGATTCTGACAGAGACTCGCAAAGGCTCCCTGGAACCTGGACTGGGGATCAATGGCCTTTTTCTGGCCCCTGTCTGTGGGATCAATTCCGAACCTGGCCTTTCAGTCAACTCGATGTGACTGACCCTCACTCCCACCCCCCTTGGCTTCCCTCCCTGATGTTTTCTGGGAAATTGGTGCTGGTTTTTGACCCAAAGCCCCCTGGGTGCAGTATCACCCCCATCCTGCCCCTGAGCTGACTGATGTTCTTGTTTTCCCTTGTGCAGGATCTGAGGGCTGTGTATCTTGTGGGAAGCCATGCTGTATACCAGTGTCTCGCAGGTTACTTCTTCTCTGAAGGGGATGGTACCTTGAGATGTGGAGAGGATTTGCGTTGGGAAGCGAAGACCCTAGAGTGTCTAAGTGAGTGTTTGAGCAGGGCTCTGAGCCCAGAGTTGGAGGCTCTTCTCAGACTGAGCCAGCTGCTAATGTTGTGCCAAGTGTGAACCCAATCAGTGGCTTTTCCAGTTGTTCCAGATGGTGTTTGTGAATGGGATGAATTTTCCAGAAAAACAGAGTTCTAACCTGGCTCTGGTTTTAAAGTAATGCCAGTCACTGAGATTGGCACAATGTCACAATGATGTGCTCACCAATTGAACCAGGACTCACATCAGCCTGTTCTCATCCCGACACTAGCTCTAACTCACTCTGTGAACTCTGACCCTAACTCACTCTGTGAACTCTGATCCTAAATCTTATCGTGAACTCTGACCCTAAATCTCACAGCGGATCTGACCCGAACTCCTAAAATGAACACTGACTCTCACAACTAACTGTTATACCTAACCCTGGGTCTGAACCCTTATTCCTAGCACCAACTTGGGAGGTAACCCTAACCCCAACACCAACCCCAACCCCTAACCCCAACACCTAACCCCAACCCCTAACCCCAACACCTAACCCCAACCCCTAACCCCAACACCTAACCCCAACCCCTAACCCCAACACCTAACCCCAACCCCTAACCCCAA